CTCTTCTTGACGAAAGCTGCCTTGGCCATGGCTATCCTTGCTTTTACTTCCTTGGTGCATAGGGCGTCCGTCGTGACTATGCTTCCCAAGTACTTGAAATGCTCCACATTCTCCATCTGTTGGTTTCCAACTACAACGTTCAATGGTTCTGCTCTCGGTGCTATCCTCATTACCCTTGATTTTAAAGGCTTAATTCGGCTATACCATATTACCATCAAACACAACATTCACTGCAGGCTTCAAGAATTTCACGGCGAATCGATACGACGCAATGATTATGCAATACACGTCTCAACAAATCAAATGCCAATTGTATATATTCTAAATTACAGCTTCCTTCTGACACAACAGCGATTCTTGGATGAAACTGAAAGATTTATGTCCAAAATTGATTCACAATACATAGGCAATTTACTACGAACTGAGTTTATATTTAATCATTATCACGTGGCATAGCATCACATTACGTTCCATCGCATAGCATTATATCGATTGGTATCGAATTGCAATACATCGGATCGTACCATACTGTCGATCACATAAAATCGAAAGTTTAAGAATGTGTGTCCGCTTATAGCTCGAGAACGGACTACTAGTATCCGAAAGATCATTACTCAGATGTAAATATCGCAAGTGAAAAACGTCTGTGCGCTAAACAGAGGAGGAGAGAGACACCTAAGCCGCGATGCACAAACATTACCGCAATAATTCTTCCACGATTTAGTAAAACAGTGACGCTCAAATCAACAAACAAAGCGGGTATGCTCCGACAAAAGATTGGCTCCCGGTCAGGGGATCTGCGGTCTAAAACCCGCTCATTGTATATACGAGCGACTTCCAGGTGTGGTGATGCCACGCTGAAAACATTTATCTCAGATTTCTGTTCTGGACAACAGTTCAAGTCGTGCAGTCCAGTCCATAGTGTGTTTTTTTTGACAACGTGCTGTTTGTGTTTTAAAATTTCCTTCTATTGAGGAAAGTTTTATATTTTATTTAAGTGGTTCACTTCCTGGTGTCAGATGCCTTTTGAATGACTAGTAGAATTGCTGTCAATTTCCTAGTACTGTGACGTCACCCACACCCTTTGCCCAGTGTCGCTGAACACGGTTAACACGTCATTCTTTCTTGCCTTTCTTCAAATTATTAGTTTTATGGAGCAGGGTTTTTGTTAAGAAAGTGAAAGTCGCTCAGTTAATCGAGATCTTCCATAACATTTGTTTAATCCGAATGTTAGTCACACCAGTCCAGAGTGTAACATTTCATACGTGCTGCGATATAAATAACAGTCGCTCACGTGACCCTTTTTTTCGTCCATATCAGTTTTCTGATGTATGATTCGCTTATAACACGAAAGTGCAATTGGCTTCCACCAAGCCCAATGCATTGCTTTATATAAAATGGCAAAGAATACATATGGGAAGTGAGAGAGAGAGAGATAGCAGAAGAGTAGAATTTGCAAAGAGGAAATTGGCAGTGGGAGAAGTGAGAGACACTTCGATTTCCGGGGTGGGGTGGGGGGAAATAAAGAGAATCTTATAGCACATCAGTACGTACCGCGAAGAAAACACAACACTTCAACATTACAAATATTAAATTGGTCACACAAACTCATCAATACAGGTTTCAGGCGTGTCGCAAATTTCTATAAGCATAATCGCAAGTTACAGTCAGAGAATGTCAGTATCCTACCTTCCGTAATCAGAATTTGTATAATTTTGTATCCCCCTTTTCGTGAGGCAAAGTTTTGTGCTGTGCAGTCACGTGTTTTTGACAAGCAAGGGCAAAAGACCGTTAACTACAATGACATCTTGGTAACATGCTGTGTGTACGTCTAAGGCAGTGTTTGCAGACGTGCCAGGACAACGTTCGACAGACTGAACACTGTTACAAGTGTTTGATTTGTTCATAAAGAACTCTATAAATAACTAAGAATGTTTGATGTTTGTCTTCTTTGTCTAGTATGCACAGATATTTACTCTGCTGTGCATATCTTAGAAAGGACAGGAATAAAGACAAGCTCTCCTTTGGCCTACGTCAACGAGTAATGTAGTAAACAATTATGATAAATGACAAATGGCAGGCGTCGTTTAATGTAGTCTGTGTTAGTCTACGAGGTCGTCGGGTAAATATACGTTTCTTCTTAGCCCTGACTAGATTCACGGTGAGCATGTTCTGAAGGCTGATGGCTGGAGTTGTAGTTCTAAAAATGACATGCAGTCTTTCAAACCTTTAACACACAACTGTGCTATTCCCGATACTGAAAGTGCAGGACGAAAAGCGAGTTACAAGGTGGATGAGAGAACGGATAGAACAACAGGAAGAGAAAACAAAGAAGGAGAAGACAAAATAATTACTTTTGTCATCTTCATACTTGCAATGAAGATGGCTGTCTTCTGGGTAGAAGTTTACCACTTCTGACAGACTACACGCCGCTACAATCCAGAAGACTCACTCAAATCTTACTTCACACTTTTACTGTACAGGAAAACATCACATCGCGTAGATTGACCTCTTCCTGTTGATTTGGATGTAAAAGGACTATAACCTTTATAATCAAGCAGCGCTTGTTAAGTTGTACAGATGGCTCTGCAGTACGGAAAGAACAGCGGGATCGATTAGTGGTGTAATAACTAGTCTATAGATGGCAGGATACGTCCGACAGGAGCATTCTAATGCAGTGCAGCTTTAGTATTCTTAATGACGATATCGAAATCAAAAACACAGCGACTGTCCAACGTTTGGTGATAATTCACGAAATATTGACATCCATGAAGAATAAATTACACAAGATAAACTTTTCGGCTTGCAGGCTGAAAACAACATTGGTGAAGGCAGAAATAATTCTGAATTTTGGATGGGAACTATGAGTTGCTGAATGGAACGTGAGGGGAGAACACTGTTGAAGAAATCACGCAGTAGGTCATAACCGAACGTCGTAAGTGAGAGGACCAATGAAAGACTGCGTAATGTCTGTCAACTTAAAGCCTATGGCTCTAGAGTTTATAATATCATGGAAATGTAGCCAATTACAACTCACATTTATTTAAATAAAAGCCAGTATATGAAGGGCTAAGTTAAATTACAGGAATTTTCTTGGAGGGACTAAGAAGATCTATAAATCTCGACAAACTGATCGACAGTCTATTGTCGAGTCGAAGTCTGAAGGTTTCTGACGATGGTGCGTTATAAGTAAAATTGTTCTTTTCGACTTTGTCCATCGTAGAATTTACAAAATTATAAAATTACAACGTTTCGGAATCTGTATTCTGCTTCCGAAAAGTTGTAGTTTTATAATTCAGACGATGGACAAGGCCACCCTCAGAAAAATTTCAGACAAGCCTACCTCCCTCTGGAAAATGACGGGAAATTTTTCAAGTCTGAATACCATTGTTTGTTTTCCGGATAATACATTTGAATATACTAAAATGAATCACGTGATCGTGTTGACATACGCACTCATTTTGTGGTTACTCACAACTACAGACTAAAATATCGCAGCTGCACCATTTCAGCCTGCAGTGAGAGCCTGTACATCAGGTGAAGTGTGTAATCTAATACTGCTGATTAAAAAAATTCCAAGTGTCCCGAAAAGATGCACACACATTCAAGAATCCATTGTTCCAACCGATCGTCTGCTATATGCAGATGAGGGCACGCAGTATCAACAAGACGGGGACACCCCACATTACCATTGTGATATCAGGGCCTATCATGACAACACTTCTCTGGACTATCAAAAAGGACACAGAGGATCTGTTTGGTACACCAATGATTACCAGATTTAATCCAACCTGACTTTTTCTTGTGCGGTGTACAACACAGAGCCAGCAGCAACACTGGTGGCCGCTGGCCAGTCGGTTAGTTGCTCGACGCTACCAGCTGCGCTACGAAGCTAGCGGTGGTCATTTTGAACACCTGCACCAGATTCGCTAATTCACTAAGTGCTAACGCTGACGTCAGAACTTACTTTTACATGTGGACTTCCGCTGGGATCTACGTGTTTAAACTCGTGAGCTTATAGCAGTGAGGCATTAATAATATAATATGACTGTAAGCCAAAATGCGGTCAGGTTTGAGTTTCTGCTCAATACTGTTGCTAATTCCGTAAGTGCCCCACTGATTCCTTGAGACATTCTAACACGACTTTTATACAAGTTGTCAAATAACAAACCAATTCCTCTAAAATACCCGTTACTAATAAAGTTCTTTGCAGCATGTTTAACTTATAATCGTCACCCAGTAGATTAACTGTTGGTTGTTCATTGCCCCTCATAAATTGTTTTCCAAAAAATCATTAGAAAAATACAAACTTTTAGCCATTCACAGACGCCGATGATAACAGAGCTTTGCTGCATTCACAGCTGAGCAGAAATACTAACAGCTTGCAAGGTCTTCACACTAACGGTCAGTCCCGAAACTTCAGAAAACATTCCAAAATTCCCTTCTTTCGACAGATATTTAATCATCGATTAACCAGACTTGCCTTATGAAGATTTCTTTATTTTTCTGAAAATTTAAAGTAAAGTTGTATACATGTCTAAGCTCCACACCATGAAGGCGAACAATGGGCGGGGTATATTAAAAGTTCCACGTACTTTAAATATCGATTATTAGGCGATGGTGAGAGGCCAGCAAAGTTATCGTGATAAGTCAACCTTCTGGTACAGGCCTACGTCTGTGACGATGAATACGTTTTACGAGCTGTTCCCCTGCAGCGGTCTTTGCAAATGCAATGCCGGAGTTATTCTGTGAAACTATCCGGTCCCTAGTTCATCGAATTTTCCGGCTGTATGGATCCCCAGAGCAGAATCAGAACACAATTTATTTCCAGAAAATCCTACTCACTTACAATTTGGTCATCAGATGAACGTTATTTCAATAGACAAGTTTGAATTTATGGTAAGATTTTCAAGATACTAAAATGATTTCAGGAGAACTTACCGGAACGCGAAGCTGACCACTCATCTCCGACAAACCTCGAAATTGAGAATGCGTGTAGCTTTACCGCCACCATCACGATTTATTCAGGGACAAATTTATTATTTTTTCTCTGCTAACTGCAAGCACGTTTTCATGGGGGCTGGCGTGGGTTAAAACCGGAATGCCTAGAAGCGGCAAGCCTACGGTACAGCGTCGCAGTTACAGGCAGCGCCACCCTCTCCAATGCTGCAGAGGTAGGCGCACAATTCTCCCCAGTCGACGTCCTCAGAATTGCCTCTAGTGCTGTCAGCGGCCATTGACAGCTTCTCGGCGTGGAAGGCCGGCTTCACCCGGCAAAGAGGACACCCGTACAGAGTGTACCCTTCTTGGTAGCAGAACGAGTCGCAGATGGCGGTCCAGTTCGCAGGCTTCGTCACCATGGCACTGCACACAGGAGGATTGCCAAATAATTACTTAAGTACAGGGCATCAGACGTTCTGAAACTTCCAGAACAGTCTCCGTCACTTGCAGTCACTTCTTCCAGATATTAAATTTGTGTGATGTTAAATAACACCACTGAACTGCATCGACTTTTAAATCTAACATTACCAAACGTTTCATTCACAGTTTTCACACAGGTTTACAGTTGATGTAACAGATTTCGTACTGACGATTATTCTTTTAAAACTTCTTTGTAACCGATACTTATTCCGTCGCTCCAAGATGAAAAATTCTGTTCTGCTGTTGTTTTGGCAACGATTACAAAATTTGGCATGCCTACAGCTCACATATTGTAACCAGGAACGTGGTTACAAATAAACCACGTCGTCGAGTACCAAATATCGGTGTTTGAATTTGCACCTTAGAAGACATGATGGAGTTATCTGACACTTTATCTCTCAATTAAACTGATCGTTATGTTGATTATTTGACTTAGTTAAGTCTCTTAATACAGGACGTGGTAACATGATTATGAAATGAGATTTTATGTTCTCACAGCATTTATTATGAAGATGGATATTTTCTGGGTTCTTGCACCCTGTAGTATGGTACAAATTTACCAACGTCTCAGAGGTACTTGCTGCCTTCATAATTAGGGTAATGAATACCTGATGAACGAGATAGCAAGCACCTTTGAAACGACAGTGAACTTTTATATTACACGGAGTGCAACCCCGAAGACAGCCAATTGATGATTATGAAATGGAAGACGTATGAAATTTTCTAAGACAGAATTTAAAATCTCAACATGTGACCAGAATCAAGTTAACGGTGACATTTAAATGTGAGAATGCTAATGAAGATCAGATGTAATAAGGAACTTGGCAGAACTTAAAAATACCTGACGAGTGACAACAAACACTCCAGGAAGTTGGCGTATAAGGAGCAGAGCTCACGTAGGCTCTGGATGGAGGAAAGAGGTCACCTTCAGGCTCTGTACGCTTTACCCCTGGGGAAAGTTATTCTGAACAGGAGGACGGGTGAGCCTGAAAACCGGTCTGGACTTAGTAGCGAAGAAATGAATTCTTGTCGAAAGCTGTCCCGAAGCCAGAACATTTAAAGTTTGATTCACAAGCGACATGCAGTACGCGATTGGTTATTTGCAACATCATGTCAACTTATGTTCACATTAAATAAATCAAACTGTTAGTTTATAAAAAAATGTCAGGGAGAGAAGTGGTAATTATATTTAAGTAATCGTAGCGGCGTGGATAGTTTTCTACGATTTAATATTTTGTAGTGTTTTTTTTTCTTCTGAAGGCGTAAATAGTACACACTGCGCTGACATCACAAAAAACCCATCTGGACCAGAACGTTCTAGTTAATGACAGTCGATATGTATCACTCAGAGATGCAACAAAGATGTTCGATCATCACTGTGAAGATTTCAAAAGTGACAACTCTGTAATTTTTGGTGTGAAATTCATGCCAATTCCTTAAAGCGACATCTATTGTGTAACGCCTGTAAATGATCCGTGGGAATAGATTTTCGGAAAATACAATCTTTGTATCATGGCGGTTGCAGAATAAATACGTCGACTTAACCAGGATGTTGTCACAGAGCTGACACACCTCATGACGTATCAGTATCAATTACATTAATTACTTCAAGAAGACTTTAAGACCAAACGACCATCATATTTGGGAACTAAAATTGTCTGAGATAAACTAACGTAATCTTTTATTAACAATTCAGAATATGCAAAGAACGAATTTGTGTATGTTGCCACCAGCTGCTTTGCCGTAAATCCTGACAAAGTGTACGTGGAAGTTCCCGAACATACCTCTCGACGTGACAGCCGCAGAGCGGATCACCGAGGTTGTTATGGCACAACACAGGGCAGACGGCAAGACGCGGTCCGTAAATATCCTTCTTTCGGGCAGTGGCGAGAGTGAATTGTCTCAGACGGGACCGGAGATCGAACCCCATGTCCTCGTTGCATAGCTCCCCGCAGGGGGCGCCTCCCAGCCCCGAGGTGCACAGGTCCGAGCACATCTGTTGTTTCATGACGTGCAGAGACTTGGTCTTGTTGGCGACCGTGAGCGGCGCCACCAGCATCAGCAAAATCAGCAGCATCGCTCTGCAACAGAACGATTGCATCCTGATCTATATTTTTCGACTTCCTTCTTCGGCTACAGTAAGGATCGAACGCAGTCACTTTCAAAACATTAATTTTCTTTAACCCTGCTATATTTAACCACCTAAAGCCAAGCGGTAGCTATACTAAGCGCTTTAACAACCACTAAGACTGCGTTTTGTTTTGTGTTTCACTGCAAACAACGATTATTTCCTTAAAAAGTGTTTCGTAATTTCTTTTTTTATATCTGCCGAATACATAATTTTGTAATTGTATTTGTCTACAGACCGCCACGGTGGTCTAGCGGTTAGAACGCTGGCCTTGTAATCCTGGGGTCCCGGGTTCGATTCCCGGCGGTACCCGAATTTATAACTTGTGTTGGGCAAGACCGTGGTCTAGGCAACACGGAGTTTTCCTCCGGGGGTTTCCCCGGTTTCTCCGTGGCATCCCATTCACACACAGAAGAAGGCAATGGCAAACCACTTCTGGATCATCTGCCAAGAACGTATATGAACAGGTCCCAGTCCGAGAAAAGGATGGAAGGATCCTGTTCATATGGACCTGTCGTCAGACAGAACACTAAAAAAAATTGTCTACGTCACTTGTAGTATTAAAATAATTAAATTAGAATAGGCCTAAATCTGCCATAAAAGTGCTGGTGGAAAAGTTGATCATGCTATTAGCAACTGGGCTAGAACAAGTGACTGAAATTGATGAAATTATGGAGACCAAGCAAGCTATCACACGAGTGGATAGCAAACAAGATGCACTTGAATGACTCCGGAGTGCAGAGTTAGTAGCGAGTGGCAGCCATATGCCGCACTGCGTGACAACCTTAACAAATGACTTTCAACGGACACTACTACTTAGCCTACTTCAGGCTTATCTAGAATCTCTTTTTGGTCTAACCTCACTTTGGACCATATATGACGTATAAACCGTAGTTGAAGGTATCTGGACACAAAACAGACCGTAACCTACGACAGATTAACTAACAAGAGCGTGGAGAAAGTTACATGGCGAGTAATATTACTGATTTTATTCTTCACTTACAATGTTTAAATAATTATAAATTAAGGACTTTGTCGGAAAAATTCCACTTGAAAGAATAAGGTGTAGCGGAGAGAAATATTAAGAAAATGTTGTTTGGATGTGAACTGGGCATCAGAAGAGGAACCAACGTAGGGCTTCTGTGGACAAAACGTCGGAAGCCATGTTTATAAAAAACAAAACATTTCCTAACATCTCCGAGAAAAAAGATGCACGTTTTCGCTTACCGTGCACCTTTGTAGGTGTGTTCTTGAAAACAGAGTTTATAGCTTCATATTTAGGTATTAAAATTCTGACTGTGCTATGTTTTACTTGGAAATCCGCCCTCAGCCCAAATGTTCAAGATGACATGGTTTGACTTGATTAATCGGCTACTGCATTTCATCGTCAAAGGGTTTGTTGTTAAGATTTGTGTCTTCTGGGTTGTTGCGCTGTGTAGTCTGGTCGATGTTAACCAACGTTTCAGAGGTCATACTGCCTCCGTCATCAGGGCGATGAATTCAGAACCCGGAAGACAGAAATCTTCATAGTCACCGCTGTGAAAACCTCAAATCATACGGTTTTCTTGTTGTCATACAGCCTATACAGAGATGTATTCACCCCTCGACACCAACACAGTAATAATGGGCTTACGCCACATTAATCAGGATAAAATCATTGGCATTCTGCTCTGAGTCGAAAACAGTAATACTGTTTAATCGAAAAGGCATGTAAACAATTTCTGACTCTTATTCTGTTTGTTAAATATTACATTACTCAGACAAACAATGCTATATTATTTATTTATTTAGTGTTCTGTCTGACGACAGGTCCATATGAACAGGATCCTTCGATCTTTTTCTCGGACTGGGACCTGTTCATATACGTTCTTGGCAGATGATCCAGAAGTGGTTTGCCATTGCCTTCTTCTGTGTGTGAATGGAGTAATTGTTGGGATGCCACGGAGAAACCGGGGAAGCCCCCGGAGGAAAACTCCGTGTTGCCTAGACCACGGCCTTGCCCAACACAAGTTATAAATTCGGGCACCGCCGGGAATCGAACCCGAGACCCCAGGATTACAAGGCCAGCGTTCTAACCGCTAGACCACCGTGGCTATTAATGCTATATTACGTGTTAGAAACGTTTAGTGTGTTCAGCAAAGTATGGATTCCCTCTTTTCCTTACATCTGATGCAACACGGTAAAGCGTTTCTGTGTCATGGAAAAGGTTCACCAAACGAGGTACTGTCGATTCGTTTGGAACATGAAAATCGAGAAACGTATCCTTAAACTCATTCTGGCACGTTAAGTAGGTACGAGATGACAGGTAGTGTTCGACAATGAACACTCGTTGCACTTTTGAAAGGCATCCTTGCACTTCGACTGTTGAAAGATAAATGACGGACTGACTCGAGCAGGTTACAACATGACGCGACCTGCATAGGCTCTTGTATGGGCACAATGATATCGTGTATTTAAAAACGCAATCGAATAGTACTAAATTACAGCCATAAAAACGTTTTAATATTTGTTTCCTACGTTCACTCTATATATAGCATCCATTTATGTCAACTCGAGCCGGAAGTGTTAGGGATCTAATATTCTAATGACGTCATCAAACAGCGTTATCCTTAGCCGAGTCACATTTAAATGTTCATTCCTCAGGAATGATAAGAGTAAGGGTATTGTAACCTATATGTAAAATGACCAATAAATAAAGACCTTTAAGAATCTGTAATGTATTTTGTTGTAATTATAATTGTTTATACATTTATTGTAATTTTAATGAACCAATGTGTATAATTTTCAATGCATCTGGCGCGTTAAGCGCCCGCCTCTCGAAAACCGTAAGAGATAGATCTGGACATATTGCGTACGAAATGCATATTACCTCTTGAGCTTTTCATATCTGTTTTCAGATATTATATATCACAAATGGTTTAGGTTCTACAAACATTTATTTAGCGCAATCCACTCGCGTCATTTCTTTACTCGGCAACTTGAGTTCATTTTCTTCCCTACAGGAGGCAGAACAGTCGAAATTATCGAGAAAGAACGACAAGGACTCTAGTGCAACCGCTCCGAAGGAGCGCGTTGCTCTAGTCACTGAAAAAACGTGTGTCACTCTCTTCGAGACAGCCGATGAGAACCAGTTAAAAAAAACCTGTCCAAATCTGCAGTCTCCTCATCTTAAAAACGCGCATTTCAGTTTCAGACTTCTGTAATGCTTTTACAAACGTCCTTGAAGCCCCTGTAGAAATGTCAGACACGTGTGCCTACGTAAAGATCCTAAGTAGTATTAATATTTGAAATATACCAGTTATTCCCAGCTACGTCATTCGCCATCATACATACAAATCCGTCGATTCAAAGTAGTAAAATTAGACATCCATTGCACCAGATATTAGAGTAAAACATTGTAATTCTCCTATTTTATGGGACTTCTGGAAAGAGTCGTCTGGATACGACCCAGCGTCACCATTTTAGGGAGATTTAAAGTAACGCCAAGAGCAGCTAAGCAAACAAATTATGCAGAGGGTGCAGATATTAACACCCTCAGTCTCAAGTACTCCCGAGGGAGGTAGCTCCCCTCCACATTAACATGAAGATTATGGTCGAGTTGCAGCGTAATCGACTCCAGCTATAAATAATGTTCAGAACGCGATTTTAACACATCCGCAGCGGAATTCAACGGATTCCATATCACCATAACAACATCGTTTTCCTTCTTCTTCTCTTAAGCTTCATAAGACAAAATATGCTTCATTCTCTTGAGGCAAATTTTATAAATGATTTTTCGTAAACGGAATGGTAGAAAGTATATGAACTGACAGTATGTCTGCTCGTCACAATTTCACTTTCTCTATTCTCACGATGTTTCAAGAATGCAAAGAATTTGGTAATAGGAACAAAGACTGGAGACTGTAAATAGATCTATTATGGCTCGCAACTGCACTGCACGATACAGGGGCTGTGATCACGTCCCCCAATCCGATTACATATGTTTTACGTCGTACAAAAAATTCCCATTTAATGGTTCGGTTGCATTATAAGACTGTATTGCAACATTCCTTGCTGTAGTGTTCGGGTACAGACAGTATTCATTTATTTCATGTATTTTAGGTACTGGATAAATATCAGGGATTCCAAAATTAGATAAATATTCATTTCACATATAACGCGGGTACTGCAGCTGTCCCCCGAAACCCGCGTTATATCGAGGTTCCACTGTAATTAAAAATCACTTACATAACCTATTCTGTACAACAGAGGCCTTGCGATGGGCCGATCCCTCGTCCAAAGAGTCTTACCAAATGTCGCCGTGGTAGAAGTTTATCGACATTTCAGAGGTCCTTGCTGCCTCCGTCATCAGGAAACCTTGGTGATGGAGGCAGGAAGGAGCTCTGAAACGTCGGGAAACTTCTACCAAACTACACGGTGCAGCAATCCAGAAGACAGCCATCTTCTGTGTATTTTTCTGTATTTCCTCGACAGACCTCGTGTGCCAATATCCTACCTCCCTAACAAATGGACAATTCATCTTTAATTATCGTTTTATAACACATAATCGGGTCTTGAACAGAAAACATTATATTAGACGAGCTAATTGCGTGGGACAATTCGGATGGGGACAGAAACCCTCCACCCCCCCCTCGGGCCGGCCCACTTTCAGCAACCCGAAATGACGTAAAATCAATCTCGAGCCAGTTTGTATATATATGCACTGCACCCCTCTGCTACCGCCTGACGGAGCGGGGTTGCTTTTAATCAAAATTTTTTGGGAGGGGGTTGCAGGGTGCGGTGGTGAGATTCCATTGTTACTAGCACACCAGATGCTGCCAGTGACGTCAGTACAGACTGTTCACAAATAAACTGAAATCTTCTTCTCTCGTTAAGAAGCAAAACGTACCATGAGGTTCAAGTCTGTGATCAGAGCGCAGAATAATTGAAAACAAAATGTTCGTAAATCTTATA